TTTGTAAAAATCGACGCGTTTCAGAAAGGCGGGGCATAGAGGAGAAACAATAATGTACAGTATGTGGAAAATAATGTGTTTTTTGAACCTTAAACCGCATGAACACATTTCATTACACCAAATACACAAAATAATGTTATTTTTAGCAGCATCATATGACCCCTTTAAACATTCATTTAAACCTTATATTATACATTGGAACTATAGATACAGCACACTAAAGACTCTAATGGCTTGATTTGCTGTTATAATTCACTACTGCTGACAATTGCAGCCTTTGTGCTCAGTTATATTTGGAAAGGTTGGGAGCAGGTACACAAAGGGAGGGGACTTATTAGAGCTGCAGTGCACGTGAGTCCTAATCAAATTGGCTTTGTGCTAGAAGCTTGTTCATCTAATGAATCTGTTCCTCAGACACGCTGTATGAGCTGGCCCTCAAGGTGAATGCTCTTTGTGCCTCCCAATCATCAATTGACATCTGCCAGATAGTCTCATTAAGGTCCCATAAAATAATGTTCTCATTCAAGTGGCATCTTTGTGATCTATTGGTAGATAATGGCAACCAAGTAAAACTACACTCAGGTGCTGTCCATGGTACTGAAATTTCCATCTCCTGCCCAGTCTCTCTGTTCCCCTGTGCACTTGTGTGGTGTGTTTTGCAAAGACTATAATTATCTGAGCCAGTGTGAACTTGTGTGGTATTGTGCCACTTGATGGCCACCCTGTGCATGTGAATTATATGTTTTACTAGGATATAATAGCATTGTAGCAAGTGTAATAGAAGAAGTATGCAGCCATGATTAGAAACTCAACTACCACTCCCATAAACACAAGTGAGTACAAATTATATATGTTTGCATAAGCTTACTATATATACAACACGATGTGAATTATATATTGCCTGTTTGTGCATTGGAAATAACACAATTAACACAGCAATTATTAATAAGCCTTCAGAATTAGGCAGATTTTACCTGAATTGTCAACTAATGCTTAAAAAGACCAATAATGGACACATTGTATATTTTTTAGTAAACTCAACTCTCCTTATCCCAATAACTAAACATTTCTGGGAGTGCAAGTAACCCTTCGTCAGGATCGATGGTGATGTGTAGTTAAAGTGGACACGTTAAATGCAGAGTTTCTGTACAACTGTAATCGAAAAAAAGCTGTGTTGATGTGTTAGTAATGGTTTTGAAATGATTTTACACATGACAGGTGCTCAATAATCAACGTGACAAGCCCTTCACCTACCTTAAACACTGGAAACGGATCCATTCGCCTTGATTCCACTTAATTCTAAACGGAGGCGTTTTAAAGCCTTTGCGGTTTCAACACATCTTCTTTTCTTGTTTCATGTAAAAAAAGCAGAGAAACAGAGCAAAGTGCATTCTTTTGCACACCGACCTGCGCTGAAATCCGAGTCCTAACACACCATTCTTGTGTAGTTTCCACCAAGTTGAGCTGAAAACGGCCACACGGACTTCTAAATCAGACAATTATCCCACATCTCTCGTTAAAATGTGTATTCCTCTCCGAACGCCACCCGTTTATTCCCGTATTTCAGTTGCTATCTGTTTCTCCATTGTTTAGCAGTGAATCCATTAACGCACAGGCAATTCCGTTCGCAAACTAAAGCGATATCCAGATAGACCCCGATGAAAGCGATTGAACCTAGTTTTAAAAAGAATGGGTTGCGAGGAGCGCAGGTCAGTTGAAACATGTACCGACCGCGTGTAGACCGTGATCAAAAGCTCTCCAGAGCTGTGCAAATCTGTAGATGGCATAAACGAGTCCGAACGGACATGGTGCGTTGCAGGGACAACTCAGAGAAGCTTATCAGTATCACAATAATGCACAGACGAACGTATGGCGCATGCCAAGGCGTCCGGATTTACGTATAATCGGTACGTTCACTGAAGCTACATAATTAGTCTTTGCGGGGAATGGTCGATCTGGGCTGACTGCGCTTAGACGCAGGATGCCCGATTGTGTCGGATCAACTTGAATTGAGAGTATACGGATTATCTTTGCCCTTACTTAACCTAGATGATATTATTTAGTATTTAAGAGATTGAGCAGATTTGTCCCAATTGATTTACTTTACAATACATAGAAAGCATGTCATGTCTTCTACACCAATAAATAAATAAATAAAAATAAATAAAATGATTGTTAGTAGCTATTCATTAAACTGCATCCAATAGCACAACTACATCATTACTGATTGTGAAAAAAGTATATTTCTACTATTGTTTCCAAGTGCTACATAAATGTCAATATTACAATTCTGATATACAACAGTCAGTTTCATCCCTTGAATTTGATTGGTCAAGCGGTGTTCTAAACACAGAATCTATTTTGAAGAACCAAACAGTTGAAGGGATCCATTGGCTCCATTTATTTATTTATTTATTTTTTCCATACTATAAGTCAATGGTTACCGTCCACTCTTTGTTTCCCAACATTCTTCAAAATATATTCTTTTGTGTTCAGCAGAAGAAAGAAACTCATACTGGTTTGGAACAACTTGATGTTGAGAAAATAATGACAAAATTTAAATTTTGGGTCAACTATCCCTTTAATATGTTTAATTTAAATAAATAAATTTAAAAAAAGTATACACAGTTGCATTCTAATTAGTTATATATATATATATATATATATATATATATATATATATATATTATATGGTGGGTTATGTACTAGCGATATGTAATTATGTTGAGTGTAATGTTCTTAAAACTGCCTTTCTGGTATCCTTGAACTTATACAAAAGACAGGAAGAGAAACACTGCATCTATCAGTGCACAGACAGACTAAGCAAGTTATGTTTATCACATTAGTCTTATGGTAAGACATATAATGTTATTGTTCATTTTAGCATTTATATCAGTCAATGCCTTGTCTTCCATTGGAAGTGCTTTACTGGAAAGCGCTTGGCTACATCCAAATATGCACACCATACTTCTGTACTATAGTACATAAGTTATGTGTTATATATTATTGTAAACTCTTGTATTATTGTACAAAGTTTCAACAATATTTCAAGCAAACTGTAAACAGCGTACAGTTAAAATAATGAACTTTATTGCTTGATAAATCAATTGTTTACAACTATTTATCAAATACTTTCTTAACCGTGGTAAAATCAGTGGAACATACAGTCTCTCATAACTTATTGCTTTAGTGAAATGGTTTCACCTAGTTATTTTTCATTTGCTATCTGTGTTTTTATTTATTTTTTCCCATAAAGATGATCAGATGGTGTATTCTGTTGACATGGATTTATGATATACATTTTATATGTCCATCCTGACTCTGAGTGACACAATTGTAGCATGAGATTTACCTTATCCCTTTTCTGCCACTGATATGGAAGACATATCCCTGCCACTCATATGGCATAATGTCTGTGAACGATTGGGTGGCAAAGATATCTCTCGCTGAAAGCAAAACACATAAACAGTTTTTCTATTTTTTCTATTATATTTTTTTCATTATTTTCCAATAACGAAAAGTGAAAATTACAGAGAAAGAAAGCAACTGCTCACAAATCAAAACATAAATTTGTTCATTTTTAGTCAAAGAAACAGCTGCCATAAGAACTGGTTTACTTGTTTTTGTTGAAGATAGTGTTGCTGAAAGCAGAATAGATTTGCAGCATGTTCTGCATTGGCTCAGACACAAACAAATATCTTAAAACTCATTCAATGCCAATTCACCAGGCAGTTGGACAGTGACCTCCACAAACTGCTCAAGTGGCCAAGGAGTTTTCAAGGCCAAAGAGCAGAATGATCACCACAGGGCAATAATTAACTAATTCAGTTAGTTTGAGACTGAAATCAAAAAAGTACCGAAACCAATAGGAACTGTGAATGATTGCAGTACAGTCTTGACAGAGCATTACTCTTTAAGATAGGACTTTTCAACAGGAGGTCCACGGATGTACTACTGCTATTTTTGTGGGGCAAAATAAATTATAAATAAACACAAATATAACATATTAAACAGTAGGTGCAGAGATTACTGTAATGTTCTCAAACTGGCAATAGAAAAGCTGTTCTAAAACATCGTATTCCCTTAAAAACGCTATTGATCTTGAGTATTTAAATAAGTGATGGTTATAGGAATATGATGTAGCCTGAACAAAAAGTATTTTAATATAATATTCTCATTAGTTGTACACTCATCAGTTATGCACATTCATTTTTTAAAACAAAAACTTTGTTTAAAATGTCAGTGCTGCTTAGATAACTTTGAGCAATGAAGAATGGTAAGTTTTTGTTTGTGCTTGCTGGAGGTTAGCTTAGGCATGAATGGGTTTTTTTTTTTTTTGGTAGACACTCTCGATGAACACCCCCTTTGATTGGGTTCACAGAGAGGGCTCCCACAGCCTCCCCTTGGAGAATGATCGATGCAGACCGCAGGAGACAGAATGAGGAGCCCCCCCTCTCCCCTCCACTCAGCTGCACTGACAGCTGTGTCCGAGATCCATGAAGTACCAGAGCAACAGCTCACAGCTTTAGGAGAATCTCCATTCAAGATCTCATTACTGAAGTTAGAGTTGAAGTGGAAGATGGGAAGTATAATAGTGAGGAGACTGAGGGTATTTTAAGGTCTTTGTTGTAGCCTTGTGTTTCTTTAAAGGGATAGTTCACCCAAAAATTCTGTCATCATGTACTCACCCTTGAGTTGGTAGCCATTGACTTCCATAGTATTCCCTTGCCCTAAAAAAAAAGAAAAAAAAAGACTTTACTATTGTCCTCCTGCATTATCGATACACTTTTTTTTGTGATGCAAAAAAAAAACATGTTGCATAGTTTTAATATCACATCACTGTGTGACAACTCTTAAAAAAACTCTTAAAAGTTTTTGAACACAAACAAACATCAAGAGTAAATGATTGTTTATTTTTTACCTTGAAAATACACCTGAAATGATGAAGGACGCTGTGGGATCAGGACAATATTACTCGTGTGTCTTCATTATTTCTAGTTTAGCCTGCTGGTAGGATATTGATCCATAAGGAAAGATGCTTGTGAAGAGCAGCACCTTAAGCGATGCTATCACATATTGTGTGTAATTTCACATGTTGTGTGACTCTTCTTGATATATTGTGACTTTTAACAGATTTAAAGTTAAAGCTTTAAATTAATTAACATTCAACCGTTCTGACAGAATCACACCTTGTGTGAAAAGGATAAAAAAAGGTGTGCTTATCAGACAAACCTTCCAAGGTTTAACATATTATTAGACATAGGTCCAAATCCAATGATGTATTAGTGCTGACGTGATTATTAATATATTTCTCTCAAATTAAATTCACAACTATTAAATAACGTATATGTATCAGTGATTGTGTTTTGTGGTTCATCAAAATGAAGTATTTGGGGTTTATTAGGTCTTGGCAGGGGCGGACTTACTCATTAGGCAAAGGTAGGCGACCGCCTTGGGCCCCCAAAAGCCAAGGGCCCCCTAAAATGCTTTTCATATAGGATATGCGCATTAAGCACTGGAGGTTGTCGTGGTAATAAACACCGTGAACGGTTGCTGTTTACGGTGTTTATTACCACGACAACCGTCCGAGTCAGTGGCGCCTGCAGGTGTACGGCACTGTGAGTACCATGAGCGCTCAGACTGACCTCAGATTTGCCCCGCAAACATTTCAGCAGTTATCATAGGCCAGCCTGTGTGTCCCATATTACGCCAAATAGAAGCAGAAAATCGTGCTATACTACGCACTTTCATGAGATCGGTTAGCATACAACAATTAATTTGTTGGCTATTTTACAAAACGCAAATCATAATCGGGCCTAACCGAGCAAATGGGAATACAACGATTTTATGACAATGTTTACATTCAAGCTGCCCGTAAAATTTATAGTGAAAAGTACTATAAAAGCGTCTGGAATGCAATAAAGTAATTTTAAAGTGTTTTTTAAAGCATTTGCTGCATGGGTAAAAAAAAATAGGTTAATAAATAACTCACATATCATACAAAATTGCGTTGCAGCAAATCCTTTAAATTTTCAGGTATTCAGAACAGAGCAACATAAAAAGCAGAAAAAGCAGCTATACAATTATAGGACAATGTTTTAGACATATGCCATTATAATTTGTGTTTTATTTTTTAATTGTACGGAATTATAAAATAAAACGCAAATTATAATCGGGCCTGTTTTAAGCTTTTCCGTATTTTTACATTTTAGATATCCATCAATTATGATGAAAAATATGACTCGCCATCTCCTCATGGGATGTGCCTTTAGAGAGAAATGCACGGATTACATAATGAAAGAGTTTCTATTTTCGATTTGAGGCAAGTCGTGATGATTTGAGAAGGCTAAATTGATCAAACATATATGATCAATTCACTGTCTGCCGCTGGACGTTAAAAAAAAAACATTTTAACGAACATATTAACATATTAACGAACAAAAAATGCTCCAAACGTTTTTCTAAATTTACTTTATAAAAAAAAACTAAACGAAATATAATCACTTTTCCATTACATACAAAACTGAACTATTTTAATAGCTGAAACAGTAGTATAAGCTTTTTTTGGGAAAAGGGGAAAAAGACAGGCTAGGGCCTATATTTGAGACACGTGCAGGGCTCTAATCCACTTCATCCAAGCTGTTTGGTTCTCATCTGTGCGCATGCTCTTGATATATGTATTTTACCATTTTGTTGAGTTTAAAACGTGTGACACATTCGTTCCATTATAACATGTACATGAAATCCATTATAACATGTACATGAAAATGTAGAAACATTGGACACAACTATGGGGCACCAT